TTCTCGTGGGGAACACCTGCTTTCCCAGTAGTCTCATTGATGAATCTGTTATTGGGATCAGTCTTACGAGCAACTGACTGGTAGCATGAATAATGTTTGCCTAGTCTAGTTCTGAAGCAGGGAGAGAAGTTTAGTTTTTACCGGAGAGAGAGAAGTTATTAAGTAGGATTGTAACAATCTTGCCAAAATCTGCTGTCCACAAGTTCAGACATCAAATCTGAATTAGTTGCCTAGGCTCCTGATACACTAAATAGAGTGTGGCACAAACTCGTCTTTGGACCGGTTACGGAGAGACTAAGAAATTTATTCGAAGAAACATGGATGTTTCAAGCACAGATTTGTTTTAAGTGGCCCACAGTTGATTTTGTAAAATCTGAAAACTCTTTGAGGTAGAAGATAAGTTACACATTTAAAAGATGCGCATGCACAGGGGAAACAGTTGCTTATATAAGCGCAGGGGCGCTTTTATATATTTTGGGCATCCAGGCTACAAAGATTAGGTTAAAGAAAACAAACAAACAAAAAAGAGCAACAGAAAAATTACTTGGGTCATCTTTTAAGTTGTTTTACTGGCAATTATTAATGACACAAGTGCATGAGAAATTATTTTTATAATTTAGAAAAATAGGATGTCACCAAGCATCACTGTTAAGTCAGAGCTTGCAGTCTGTGTTATATAGTAAACTTGATATTTTGGAACAGTGGAGGTCTTTGAAAATTTACAGTACATAATAGCTTCTGGAAGCCAGACTTTTTCAGGTGTAACATGTTGATATGAAGTCATACTGTTGCCCTCTACTGGCATCTGCTGAAAGCTTTTAAGACCTTACTCCTCAAATACCCTGGTCTCCACGTTAATTTCTGCAGGACACTCTTAATCCATTTCAGACAAACTCAAAACCATCCTTTGAAAGCAAAAGTCTTTCTCTTATAAGAGATGGGGGAGATGGGGGAGAGAGGGAAGAGGGGTACAACTCCTACCTGTCATCGCTCATCTGCTTACAAACTGCTGAAAGCTTTAACTTTTACATTCAAAAGCCCTAAAACATAAAAATGTCAGATGAATTAATTAAATATGAGTACTGACAACTGTTGGAGTGTTTGAATTTTGGAGGCACGGATTAAAGACATCAAGGGTCGTGAGAGAGAATATCGTATTTCAAACTGCTCAATGAAAACACAGCTATAACACAGTGATTGTTGTCATCACATGTCATAAAAAAAAGAGGCCAAATTCAGACAATTGTGCATTCTGAGAGATGGCAGAATACAAGAGAAAAATATTTGTATTTCACAAGTACTTTGCTACACAGTGTTTTGCTGCTGTCATTAACGAAGAGTTATCTAAACAGTAGTAAAAGAACAGAATAGTCTATTGACTAGGTGGGGTTTTTTATCCCTTTACTTCAATAATTATATCATCTCAGCTGCCCTCAAATCTCTGCACAGCCAATGCCTGTGTGGAGATTTTATGTACAACAGTGGCCATCAGTTGATCAGCTGTGCTGTATTCACAACTGGTCCTTCTGAAGAACTGTTTCTGTAAGCTGTCTCCATTACATACTTTTTGTGATCCTTTGACATCTTGTTCCTAAGAAAGAAGACATCCAATATCTTCCCTCTGAGCAGTCATGGAGGAACACCTCATGCAGAGAAAAGATGAGAAGAGGGATCAGGCTTCCTTTCTCCAAGATGAATATCCCTATTATTAGTGACTGTTGAACTTTAAATGCTTATCTCTGTTATTGCCACTTTCTTACACTCTGATCTTTGGCATATCAGTGAAATATGTTTGGAAGGTTTTTTTAACTGTAAAATGTAGTTAATCGTGCCTATTTTCCAGGATTGAGTATGACTGTTAATACGTGTTTTGACATTTGGACTATGTTAAATCTTTCTATACATGCCAAGATTATTTCATGAGCAGAAAGCTGTGCATTGACTTAGTGGAATAGGCTGTGCTTAACTTGAATTTTCGAGTAAAGGTTTGTTACACCTTCAGCTTTATGACCGTGTAGAACAAATTCTATTTTGTTAATAGAAAAATAGTTATTGTGTCTTAATTTGTTGAATTCTGGTTTTGTACTAGAAACAACCCGATACTTGCTTTTAAAGCTTTGTGTACAGGAAGAGGAGGCGATAGACTCAGATTCCAGTGCATTGCCTAAAGAGTTAAAAATTAAAATGCCCTTACGGAATTATAAAGCTTTATGACTTCTTCCAAATTATAGAGCTAGCTTAGAAACTCTTCATTCTTTGGTTCTGAATAGCTCAGTATCCACATTACGCTAATGTGAGTTTGTGAAAATCGATGCTAAATGACACCAGTTTAATGGAGCATTAAACTAAATACCTCTAAGGTATGGGATGCTGCAAGGGAGATGCTAAGATCCTTCTGCTTCCATTTCAATCATAAAATTTGACACAAAAATTGCAGAAACTTTTGATTAACTAGCTTCTAACACAGTTCAGATACAGCATTAAAAAAGAGTAAATTTTATATTTCATTGGGATTCTGACACCCAGAGGGCTCTAATAACAACCATATGTGAAATAGAAGAAATACTTGGGAGCAGTTAATGCCTAGCCATAAAAGTGACCATGTGTAAGTCACTGTAGAATGTGGTTTGAGCAAGGTCAGTAGGTGTTTTTTTTTTTCTCCTTTCTTTCTTTTTTTCCCAAGGCTCTCTGTGTGTATTCATATATTGCTAGAACAAAATCAAGCAGTAAAGAGGAATAATTTTATCCAACCCTGCATCCTGCTAAGGTGGACATTTATTTGTAATTTTCCTAATGCTTAGATGTCTTTTTGTTTGAACTGAGTGTGAAGACAAGGCCAGAAGAAAGTACCTCAGTTTGACAAATAACTGTGCTGCAAGACCTTTGTATACTGAGGCTGTATTTATGGATTCTGATGCTTTTCTTGTTTTCAGGTGAGCGTCCTTACCAGTGTCCTTACTGTGACAAAGCTTTCAGCAAGAATGATGGCTTGAAGATGCATATTCGCACCCACACAAGGGTAAGTCTGACACAAGGGTAAGTGTAGCTTGCTTATTATGGTTACTTGAGGATTGTCTATGAATCGTGTGGCAAAAAGTAAATAATTATTGTTTGTGTAAAGACTAGGCTATACTGACCAAGATATATTATACTTATCAAAATAAGAGGCAAAGATTGAAGTCATTAACTGTTAATTTCTAATTATGCCTCCCTTACCAACCTTATATTTTTGATGGTTTTGGTTTCTTATATGTTGAAATAATAGCAGTACAAACTCCTTCCTTTAACCTGTGGTTATTCATAGGTATAAATTAATGTTTGTGATTGTTTACTGAGTAAACAATTCTGTAAAGGCTTCACTATTCTTGAAACTTCAATATCCAGTACTTTGATTCTTACTGTCTCCTTAAAATCCAGTCACTGTGAGCTTTTTTAGAGGCTGTACTGTACTAACTGATGACAAATACTAAGTTGCAAAATGAATTCCTTTAACTCTTATTTAACTGAAGGCAAAATAAAAGGCAAATTGCAGAAGTCTCCAAGATCATTTTTGAACTTTGAGTCTCAGTTAGCACAAAGTTTCCCTGTTTTAGGGAAAAGCCTTGTTGTGTGTGTATGTTTACTAGAGGACAAAAGTGAGATCTTGGCCCCTCAGCCAGCGAAGAGATGGAGAGCTGTCTTCAAGCAGCCAGATATGAATTCCTTTAGTAAACGGAGATCTCCAGGTTAAGTTAAGCTGGTCTAGCAGTCCATATACTACCTGTCTCTGGCCTCCCCATCCAGCATAAGAAAACAAACAAAAAGTTAGAAGTAAATTGCAGCTTTTACTAGTAATCCCTTGGGAGCTATTACTGCTTACAGAAATCAAGGCAGCCTTGAGGCCAAACCAGGAAAATTCTTTATCTATTAGGAAATAGGGAGGATGGTAGTTCACCATATGCAAATCTGCACACAGAATAGCTTTATAAATAAGTAAAGATCAAAACTGTTTGTTTAATTTTCTACCATTCTGCCTAGTCTTGAGAGTATTAACTACAGCTCCTAGATAAGTTTTAGCTCGCGTACCCCAAGCTTTAGTTTTAGAAGTAATCACTAGTTTGTGCAGTGCTGCCTGGTGGTTCACTGGGAGCACACTAGTCCCATGTTGTTAGCTGTTTCTCCTCCTTTCCAGCTGTTAAATCACTTTAAGAAGTGCTATAAAATCTTTTCTGTTGTTACTGTCCCATATTACTGTTTTTGCACCAGGAGAAGTTTCATTACCATATATGTTCTACATGGCTGTGAGTGGGAGGAGTAGTAAACAAGATCAGCTCTGAAATAGTGCCAAGTTTAATCTTTTCCTGATTTGTCATACAGTTTGAGTAAAAGCAACAAACCCTTCAGTCTCTGTAGGAAAAAAAAAAAGAGAAAAAAAGAATAAGAATAGGCCTTTAGAGCCTATAATGATGCATCTCTGTTGACTACAGTGATTTATACTAAGTGATGATTTCTTCCAAAATGCATGCTCGTGAGTGAGGTTAGAAGACTTTACAAACATTATCTTCATTGCTTAAAAGCTGTAACTTAACTGATAGCAGTTATTTACAGCAGGATTGCATATCCTGCAGTCTTAGAAAATGCAGTACGTCAGTGAAGGCAAACTGTGCATTTTTTCTTGATAACTGCATATTTTTTTGATAGTTGTATGCATCAGTCCTGATTGCCCACACAATGCAGATAATAAATATTATGTTAACAATTAAAAAAAAAAAAAGTAACTTCAAAGTAGAGATTTTTAATTGCATTGAATGGAAAACTTACACTCAGCTAAAGAGCAGCTATACTTTCTTGGGATGTTTCTTGCTCTTAGCTATGCTTTGAAACATAATTATGTACCTTAGTAGAGAATTTGCTATTTTATTGTTCTTTAGCTACTTGCTACTACCTCTTCTGTGTAACTTGATACTTACATATATTCCCATACATCATCATATTTTGCCTCTGTTACATATAAGGGAAAAAAAACCCAACAGTCTTTGAAATTTGCAGGCTGGCTCCAAAATGCTTCTATAGAATTGGACTGAAGGACAAACTGAGGATTTTAATGTTGAAACAGGAGGAAAAAGTAAATAATTTAAACACTGCTTATGCATGACAGAAGAACAATTTAGCTAATAGGAAAGGGAAGAGTTAGGAAAATAGACTTTACAGAGTGGAGATTTCCTTTTAATGTATATATGTAGATGTAATTAGACAGACTTTGTATTGCACTAAGAAGATAATTGCAGTAAGAACATAATAAAATTTGATTTAAAATATCTCAGAAAATGTTCTGCTGTATCATGTAGTCAAAATATCATCCTTACAGAAAGAAAGAAAGAGCACAGTTCACACCAAATGTGATACAAGTGTTTCCATATACTTGACATGTCATGAGTATCTAGATTTCAATAGGTCATATTTAATTTCTTCTTTTTTGTGTGTGAATGTGCTAAGCAGACTACTGGAAATCTTTACAATTATGCTAGAGGATTAAAATATGCAGGCACAACATGATTTTTTTTTTTTAGACCTTTGTTTGGGGTTTTGATTCTTTTTGCGATCATGCTCTTTATATGCTACTCCTATTCCAAAGCTTCACAGTGAAGCTCATTCGTATGTAAATAGCATTTTATATTAATCTATCCTCAGATAAATATTTTTTTACTTTGAGCTAATAAGAATCAATACTGGTAACGTTAACATTACTAGTATTTCTGAAAATCGAAGCCTGTTGCTCTCATCCTGCGTCTTCCAACTTTCCCTCTTCCTCACACTTCAACACCTTATTTAATAGCTGAATAGAACTGGACAGCTAAAAATTTTAAAGTCTTAGTAGGAGAGAGCAAAAAAGTTGACTAGTAGTATTAATAAAAATAATAGAACAGAAAGCATAGTTTATTACAAAGTCTCACAGTTTTTAAAGTCAGAAGGAGTGGTTATGCTGAGTTTGTTTTTCTGCAGAACATTATCCATGCAGTACTGTAAGATAAGCTGTAGTTTTGTTGTTCAGATGACTAAGTATTAGTACAGGTATAGAGGAATAAATATGTATTTTAAGTGGTGTGATTCGGATGTCAGTGAAAGAGAACAGAGTGGTGAAGGGAGTTTGGGTATTTGGAAGGAATAAGAAGGAAGAAGGGGAGAGAAAATACTGAGAGGTAAATTGAAGCGAGACCATTATTTACAAGTGCAGTTGTGTTCTTGGCAAGTCTATGAAGATTTATTTAATGTTTCTAGTAGGTTGATGCTTGTCAGGAATGTAGTGGTTGACATTCAGGATCTCATTCAGAGACATTGAAAAACTGAATCTCTGAAGCAAGTACATGGTACTTGCTGGAGAAGAAGGTGGGAATTCTCCAGTAGTCTTGCTTATGTAGTCAGATTCTCTCTTTACTCTGTTTTGTAGAGGTGATTAAGAGTTATGGGTATTAAGATGGTTTACTTACAAGGATGATAGCCTAACGTATTTCTATGTAGTACTGATAGTTGAATTTCCAGCTTTGAACATTTCAGATATTTAACCAAGAGCAATATAAGCTGAACTGAAAATTCTGAGCTATTCATGTGTGCCTCTTTTGAAGTGAATGCACGCAGCCGCATTGTAGCACTTCTCTGGTGCTCAGGGTAGTCATGGTCTAATTCTTCGTTCTGGAAATCAGAAACCGTCTGTATGTTAACAAGTAGTACAGTGCAGTAGTAGGTATGTAAAGTGAAACAGTTGGTGCTGAAGACCTGGTGTCTTCACATCTTGTATGTGTCACATCTTGTATGTGTTACAAGGATTTCACTGCAGATTCTGTGTAGTCTGGTCCTATGGACTGAATGTGCAGTAGCACTCCCTGAAATGCATTAAACATTCTGGTTTAATTTTGTCCAAAAGGAATCCAGGTCATGCAGTCCAAAACATTTTGGAAGTGTGCAACAAAGCGCAGTAACAGGGGACATTTGGGAAGTGTGCTTCAAAAGCACATACCTGATCTGAATATAAACACGGAAGGAGATGTATTCTGACTGTACTATGCAAGGACTTTTCCAGTGAGGAAAGTTTATACCTGTGCAGGAATGGCTTGAAACTCCTCAGTATGATACTAATTCACTATAACTTGTTCTGTGATCTTAGGCTATTTAAACAAAGACAAAACTAAAGATTAGGAAATAAAAAATCTAGTGTGTTTGCCAATGTTTATTTTTGTTAGTTTTGAGAACAAGAAAAGCTAGGAAGTCACACTTTGAAATTTCTTTCTTCAGGCATCTGATGTGTTGGCTTTTCAAAAAGGGATGGTGGCTGTTCCTTTTCTTACCCTTTCCTACACATACATTTTATTTAGAAATGTATTCTTGCATGCAGAATAATTATTCAAAGAATAAATAACAAGATGTATAAATCCAGAAAGTATTTTTGTATCAGCTAAGCCTAGCAATGTGGAACTAAACATAATCATAGCACCCTTCCTCAAGGGCTATTCTCATAAATATCTTGAAAAAAGTCTGGTCTTTTGGCAAGAAAAATTGTGAAGTAGCATAAACGTAATAATATGACATTCAACAAGGAAAATGTCATTGTAGAGATTAAATCTAGATAAATTTTACCAGTGGGGTTAAATGCCAAACCTGATCCTGTCGATCAGGGAAGGCTGCTGGAAAAATCACTGTAGAAAGCTGATTAAGGTCTGGCAGCTGCTAAACTGAGTACAGCCTGGGTGGCCACAGGTGTCAGCTCAAACTCTGGAATAAACAGAGAAGGTAAGCCAAAACCCCTACTGACAATGTCAGGAAAAGAAAATACCAACCACCTAATATTAAAATGTCACCTGAGTACTGATTTGTTTCTATGAAAGTAGGTGTGTTTGGTTTATGGCTTGGTTTTTGTTTTTTGTTTTTTGTTTTTTTTTTTAAATAAAGAAATGTAGCAGCCTAAGAAAATGCAAATGAGGAACTCATTGAAGTTTCCGATGAAATGAATTCACAGACCATATCAGCTTTGAGGAAATACATGTA